AGGGAAGGAAACTTTGGTAAAATCTGTCCTACAAGCTATACCTACCTATATGATGGGGGTGTTTAAATTACCTTGCTCTGTTTGTGATGATCTCACGCAACTTGTGAGGAACTTCTGGTGGGGATCAAAGGAAGGACAGAGGAAAACTCACTGGTTGGCATGGGATAAAATTATTGAGCCAAAAGGAAAGGGTGGATTGGGCTTCCGTGACTTCCGCTTATTCAACCAAGCCCTCCTAGCGAGGCAAGCTTGGCGTCTACTTATCAACCCAGTCTCGCTATGCTCCCAAGTGCTAAAAGCAAAATACTACCCTAATGGTTCCCTTGAGGACACTGTTTTTTCAGGGAACGCATCTCCGACATGGCATGCCATACAACATGGCCTGGAGCTCCTTAAAAAAGGGCTCATCTGGCGAGTGGGGAATGGCGAGCACATCCGCATATGGCGGGACCCTTGGCTACCATGGCCAGCTTCGTACCGGCTGATCACACCAAGGGGCACATGCCGGCTTAGGCGGGCTGGACATAAATGGCCGGTGGCGCACCGATCTTCTGCAACAACACTTCTTGGCCCCAGATGTCCAATGCATCTTGGCGATCAAAGCCAGCCCGTGTCGATTGGAGGACGTCCTCTCTTGGGCACCCGACAGGAGAGGTGTTTTCAGTGTCCGCAGCGCGTACAAGCTAGCGCTGGAGGACCATACTCGCACCACCGCGTGCGCCACGAGCAGGGCACCGGACGGCACCCGTGCCGTCTGGAAGGCAGTGCGGGGGTGCCCTGCTCCCCCAAAGGTACGCGTTTTTGCCTGGCAAGTCGCGACGAATTCTTTGGCCACCCTTGAAAACAAACGGAAAAGAAAACTTGAGGTTTCTGATACATGTGCTCTTTGCGGTATGGAATGCGAGGACTCGTTTCATGCCCTATGCAGATGCCCTTTGGCGCAGCTACTATGGAAGGCTATGGCCGGCATATGGAGAATGCCTAAGGTGGACACTATCGCCAACACAGGCAAAGAATGGA